CTACATTTCTCCATAGACAAGTGATTAGAGGCTTCTTTGTGCACGGGAGCGAAGCCACTATGCATTGATGAAAGGCACTCTTAAGGCTTTAGCCTACATTTTCCTCTTCATACCTCATCTCTGCAAGCAAAGGGGAACAAACTTTGCTTAAACTTTACGTTGTGAAGAACTTTTAACTTATTATCTCCTGGGGACCGAGAGCTCACGCAAATCCGAAGCAAGTAGTTAAGTTGCGTATTTCCACTAATCTCTGGCAGTAAGACAAATTGCCTTCATTGACCAATGCAAGTATCCATGCATTTGATGTGTCTTGCCTTCCGGTTAGTTGACACATAAGACGATACGAAGTTGCCTTCATATAATTGCACTTATGGTTATTGTGCGTGTTGTGGTGCCTATCCTGTGTCTTAACCTCAACGTTCTCACCATCAACTACTCAGTATTATTCAGCTTCACTTCTATTCTCACTTATGGATAGGTTGGGCAATGCGCTTGATGGTTGTAATCGGAATGCCACTTAGTTCGACGGCAAGGTCTTGCTCGTGATGGCTCATGGGTCTCCGAAATGATGTCTGCCTTAGAGGCAGATTGTATAAAGTTAGTATGAGACGGCGGTAAAGTTGAATGTGCTTATGACTAGTGGAAAGGTGGCAGAAAGCAAGAAGATGGGCCGGGACGGGGGAGTGACGTACGTGCATACCTAAACACACCCAGTACGAGAGATTTTCCTACACGCTTCAGTGCTTTTTTTTGCAGTAAAACAGTGGCATGTGTGTCTGTATGTTTAAAAGTGGGGAACTTACAACTGACTCACTCCCCAGTGTGCGTGAACATACCTGCGTCCTCTAACTTGCTTCGCTATCTGATGACAATGGTGCTGTGCGTGCATGGGAGGTCGCCTGGCCTGGCAAATCATCACTTATTCACCATACCACAACCTACTTTTAACATTACCGGGTCTGTAGTAATATCCTTCCAACCATCCTATCTGCGTTTTTCCGACTTTAGTCAGACTAAAGTTGCATCTTTAAATTGGAATACACAGCCCACAGTTTACGCATCTACTCACCTCTCATTTGATGATTTTACGAGGGCGGCAAAACAGAAATTGTTCTTCAGTAATTAGTCTCCAGGTCATTGTCTAATAGTTTCTTTGATCTCGATGCCACAAATAGTCTTCTTTTATGCAATCTCCGGTTAACATGTTTTGTTTTTGTCCATCACACTCAGAAAGCTAGTATTATGCGTTACTGTGCTTTTGACATCGCGGAAATGCAGTAAGCATCTCCCGTTCCAGTCTACTGAACATCGACGTTCCTTGTTTAAAACAGTCATAAAAGATACAATGGATTGTGTTGTCGCATCCATTCCTATGTTCAATTCTTCCCTCTTTATCCAGTTGTAGATAATCCACATCAATCAGACATCAGTTGCACGTCTTATCAAATAAAGCAGTACGACCAAATTTCCAATCACTTTTTATTGACGGTTTGTGAACACCCACAGGAATTGGACATTTTCATGTTGTCATGCCAACCAGTCATGGTAAATACTGTTTTCATGTTCTCGTTATAAGGTCACGATGGTTTGACTACGATCAGTTTCTGTAAACACACCGACGTCTCAGAGGCGAACTTCCCCAGCCAGACCGTGTAAGAGGGATTTCACCGGGAAGCACTCTCAATCACCACTTAGATTCCGGTTAATTTTACGGGAGGTATAACTCAGCAAACTTAAAACTATTGGTACCAGTTACCTGTTTCTGGGAGTGAAAGAGTTCCGTATTGTTCGGTTTTCATCAGGCTTTGGGAACGCAATGATCTCTCGTTGTCATCGGCGTTAGTTTACTTCACATTAAAAGTTGTGGCTAAACTTGTTAATATTTTTTTATTCCACTTTTGAGGCATGGAGTAGTCAAAGGCTCTTGCCTTGAGACCATGACTCTGGTTAGTAAATGGTTTCAGAGCTTTTTTGTAAGCCATGGTACAACGAGATCGGAAGACGCAAGGGCCCATCCTTGGTACAGCTGTTAACCGCTGCTACTGGGCCTAGCATTAAGGGCGGAGGTGGGGCGGGTGAACCTCTAACCTCAGCCCAAAGTGGGTTGCCATGCTAAGCAAACACTCCAGCAGTGATGTTGGTGGTGGGTCCTTGTGACGGTCTAAGCGCAGGTCAAATCGTAACCCGGACACCACAATTTATGACACTTTCTTGAAATCCACCCACTGTGCCATCTTCTTAATTTTGCCATTGCTGCATCAATACATTAACAGGGCATCATTTTGAATTTCTATGATGAGGTTCTACTCAGAAAATGAAACTTGGTCAATGCCAAGAATCCAACAGAGCGAGAAAAGCGCTTCCCACCTGTCATGCATGATTCGTAGAAGGTTAATCATGGAATGCGTAATGTAATGGGCATTCATACCACAAGTTTAACTTTGAAAAATCTAAATCGGAGGGAACAAGTGCAATATTGCACAGTGGGCTTTAGGATTTAGTCAAGAATGCGCTTACACACATGTTCTGCAGCTTTTACGGCTTATCAGTAAGCTATACGTCTTAGTTTTTTTTACGTCACTTATATGTTACTCACATCCTCTATCAGTTTGTGATAATAGACAACATTAAATGACGACTCAGAGACTGGTTGAACATGAAACAATAGAGCAGATGTTTAGTGTTTACTCACTGATGATAACTACTTTTGTGCTTTTTGAGCTGTAATTGAGTTTATCAAAACATCGATGACATTTGGCGGCATACCAGAGGTTTAAGAATCTAGGCTGAAGCAGTCTGTTGGCCTCGGAGTTCTGGTAATGAATGCCACCCTATCCTCATGTCTGAATTTAATGGCAAAGGGAAAGTAAGCACAGCACACTCTTAATGCTTTCGAAACAATTGCTGCTTTCTGCGCTACGACAAGTGGAAAAACAACTGGTTCTGCATACGTGGAATTTCATGTCGGTCTTTTGCCAAAGCCGGTGCTCCTCCCCATAAATTATTTGTTAATTTATCCCATTTTAAGCTACTGTTCCTTTTACTGACAACATGATTTATGCCAATTTGAGACCATAAAAGTAGTGTAGGCGTTTACAAATTGGTTTACTTCGAATTTTTATTGACTTTCGTTCTTCATCTGCGAAAAACAAGGTGAAACTAAAGTAAATAAGATTAAGTCCCTTCTGCTAATACTATGGACGAAGGAGGTCGTTCGCCCAATCGAAGGCCAAAAAGGTGATTGTGCTTCATGAAAATATGTTGTATTTCGTATGACAGTTAGCACCAAGACGCGTCTACTTCTTTAAATAGGTAGAATTGTGTATTTCTGCCCGCATATGAGACGATTTCTACATTCCCATTGCCGTGATAAATAGTCGCTAAGGCAACTCTATCGATTTGCATTTACCAATAGGAATCTTAATCATGCAACCAAAATACCAGGGCTTCAGTCACACACCCAAAAGGTGAATACCAAATAGCGAAGTTGAGCGCAACATTGTTGTGAGTATCATGCAGTCGCCTGTACTGACTGCTAGCACATTAGTGTGGTACGCCCCTTTCCATTTCAGCAGCCAACCTGTTTCGTCCCCTTATTACTATGCTAATGAAATGCGCCAGATAACCCAGCCCAAAAGTGACTAAAGGATGAGCAAATAACACTTTATGTCGAGGGACTGTTGCACGCCCACTTGTGAAGTGTGTACGCGCCCTGCCCGCGTCATGACTCATGGGGGCGCGTAATTGGCCATGGCACCGATTCTGAGGGATAGAATGGTACTTTTTATGGCAAGAGGGTCTATTGTCATGCCCTCAAAATTCTTCATTGTTAGGACTTCACTATCCATTGTGCTCACAAATCGGAAGTTCCCAAGTCCAGCGCTCTGATAGACCGACATTCATAAAGTTTATGAGCTAGTTTAATGAACCCACTATTTGTTCATTTATTAGGAAGACTCCAAGGAACTAATTGTTTGTGTATTTGGATGGGCAGATGCTCCGAGTCATAAGATGTCTGATTTGGGTTGCTGGACCGTTCATCATGCAACGACAAGTTTAACCTGCCATTTTAGGTAAATGCACAGGCATTTCCTTCAATCGTGTCCTTAAGCATGGAAATCTATTCCGCAAATTTTTTCATAGAGGTTATATTTTATGGGAAATACGAGGTCATAACTATCAAACAACAAACAACTCGAAGATATGTGCTGTGTATGGATATTTGCCTGCCCTGAGTTTTGTCATCAAAGCGGTTAGACGGTTTGCAGCGCCTCAAAACATCAAATTGACCATTACGACATCCTCCAGAGTACGTAAAACGTGTGGAACTTTCATGGAGGTCATTTTTTTGTGTAGTACCAAATAGGGTTTTTAACCTCTGTCTCCATTTTTCACGAAGCCTTATTTCTAGACGCGTACAAATTCAAGAGCCCTCTCACTTTTCCCACCATTTGTGTGACGCGACGGTGCTTCTAGGGAGGTGACTCCTCTGAGAGTTTGTAGAATCCACTAAGGCTAAATGTATTCCAGCTACCGGTCAGCCAAATGAAATGTGTGTATTTTAGCACCAAGTACTAAGGCACTGTAATCGAATGGGAACTGAATCGTCCATCAGCTAGAAAGGCCTCTCGGGTGCAGCTGACATGCAACTAAAAGCAACCTTTTTTAATGTTGTGACCCCAGTCCATCCAGGAGAATTTCTGCTTTACTCTACGATGCTGTAATTCAAGGTCACATATATTAGTGAAAAGAGTGCTCAGATGTGATTCCTTCCACCACAGTTACGCCGCTAAAAAAGTGGACGCTAACCTAGTTATCACCCATTCTGGTATATAAGTTGATGTTTTCTATAACTTTTCGTGTCTAATTTTTGGAAATGCCTTTTACTGTGACGGGCATACCTTGTGCCGATCCGGCTATTTATAAAAATGTAAAGTGTTTTATTTTATGTGATTCCATTTGTCTTTCAGAAGTCAAGCAGCTACTGGTGTAATATTAAGATGCACATTATTATATCACGACTACTCCTCCTACTTTCTCTCACTGCACGCGTGAAATCTCTTAATTGTCCCGATCTCTGCCAATGCGCCTCCTCCATAATGGACTGCCAACAGCCAGGCCTTGAAGCTTTCCCTTCAGCGCCTTCCAGCAAGTTGGAAATGGTCGTGGTTGCCAATCAGACTTTTCGACGGGTCACACTCGATCGGGAAGCTCTTTGGCCTTATCGGAGCCCCGAACATGGCGGACAAGTGCGCCTGCGCCTCCTTAAGATTCGCAATTGCAACATAGTCAGCATCGCATCAAATGCGTTTGCGAATTTGGGCTCACAATTAGAAGAACTTGATTTAAGTGGCAATCCTCTGCACACCATTGAAGCGCTAGCTTTTACAGGTCTTCGATTGAAGTCACTTTTTCTCAATAATCTCCAAAATCCTATAATACACGATCAAGCATTTTCTAGCATCATTGAAGTTCAGAGCTTGAGTCTTCAAAATTCCCGCCTAACATCACTTCCTCTGCGTCCTCTGATTGAACTCGCCAATCAGCACGGTCTTAAGAGCCTTTCAATTCGAGGCAATGATATCTCTCACTTACCTCCCACCTTTGAACCAGCTTTCAGACTTCTACAATCGTTCGAGTTGAGTGAGAACCCATGGCATTGTGACTGCAATCTCCGGTGGCTTATCCAGCTGCAGAAGTGGAGTCGATTGACAAAAACAAGCGGTACATTCATAGGAAGCAGCGGAGACTCAAGGAGTGACATAAGGCAGCCCAAATGCAGCAGTCCGGTGGAATTTGCAGACTACTCGTTTGATGAGATCACTCTGAATGAAAGTGAGACATTTCCAGGCACTTACCTTCACAACACAGTGTCAAAACGACCAGAACTTGCTTGTGTGACACCTCGGGTCGAGCACATCGAGGTTGACCTTCGTCAACCGAACTCTGAGCCAGAACTTGATAATATGGCTCGAATTGTCTGCCAAATGAAGGGCGCTCCAGATATATTTGTGAGTTGGTTCTATCATGATCCAAATGGGGACATTCGTAATGTTACAGAAATGTCCAAGCTGCAAGAAG